GGGGGGGGATTTGGGGTCATGGTGGGATTTGGGGTTATTGGGGAGGCTTTGGGGTTGTGGGGGGTTATAGGGTGGGATTTGGGGTCAGTGAGGAGGATTTGGGGTCGGGGGGGATTTGGGGTTGTGGGGGGTCATTGAGGGGGATTCGGGGTTAGGGGGTCACAGTGGGGTCAATTTGGGGTCACTGTGGGATCATTTTAGGGTCACTGTGGGGTCAGTTTGGGGTCAATGTGGGGTCAGTGGGGTCACAGTGGGGTCACAGGGGTCACTTGGGGGTCACTTGGGGGTCACTCACCCCTCGATGCGCGTGGGGTACATGGAGCCGAAGGAGGTCTGGCTCTCGTACTGCAGGGGGCAGAGCAGCGCCTATAGGGCTCAGCCTATGGGGCCCACGGCGCCCACAGCCCCACAGAGCCCCAGATCACAGCCCTCATCTGCCCTATGGCACCCAGCAGGACCCCAAAACCCCACAGAGCCCCACATTGTGACCCTGCATCCCCCAAAGCCCCCCTATAGAAACCGGGGGGACCCCAAAAGCCCCATAGAACCCAACACCAAGACCTATATGGTCCCTATAGCACCATATGGGACCCCGAGAGCCCTACAGGACCCCAAATTGCAACCCTATATCTCCCACAGCCCCCCTGTAGCACCCAGGGGGACCCCAAAAACCCTATAGAGCCCAATATCAAGGTCTATATGGTGCCTATAGCCCTATACGGGACCCCAAAACCCCCACAGACCCCAAGATCACAGCCCTTAGATCCCCTATAGCACCCAGCAGGACCCCAAAACCCCACAGAACCCTGAATCGTGACCCCATATCCCCCACAGCCCCCCTATAGCACCCAGCGGGACCCCAAAAGCCCCATAGAACCCAATGTCAAGAACCATACATCCCCTATAGCACCCAGATTGACCCCATAAACCCCCGTACACCCCAATACCACAGTCTTTATATGCCCTATAGCACTCAGGAAGACCCAATGAACCCCACAGGACCCCAGATTGCGACCCTATATCCCCTACAGCCCCCCCTATAGCAACCAGGGGTCCCCAAAACCCCCATAGAACCAAACATCCAGGTCTACACGTCCCCTATAGCCCCATACGGGACCCCAAAACCCTACAGACCCCAATATCACAGCCCTTATGTCCCCTATAGCACCCAGCAGGACCCCACAAACACACAGAGCCCCAAATCGTGACCCCATACCCCCACAGCCCCCCTGTAGCACCCAGGGGGCCCCCAAAGCCCCACAGCACCCAACACGGGACCCCCTGCGGCCCCCCGCCCCCTACGGCATCCCCACCTTGGCGTAGCAGCGCTCCATGTGCCGCAGCGCCACCTTGGGGTTGATGGGGTGACCGCAGGAGACACAGAAGATCTGCAGGTCCGTGTCCTCACTGTCCCCATCGTTGGTCTGTGGGGGGAAACAGGGGGTGGGGGGCAGCTATGGGGGCTGGGGGGCAGCTATGGGGGGTGGGGGGCAGCTATGGGGGGTGGGGGGCAGCTATAGGGGATGGGGGGCAGCTATAGGGGATGGGGGGCATCTATGGGGGCTGGGGGGGCACCTATGGGGGCTGGGGGGGCATCTATAGGGAATGGGGGACATCTATAGGGGCTGGGGAGAACCTACAGGGGTAGGGGGGGCACCTATAGGTTCTGAGGGGCATCTATAGGATCTGGGGGCAGCTATAGGATCTGGGAGGCACCCATAAGATGTGGGGGCACCTATAGGATCTGAGAAACATCTATAGGATCTGGGGGCATCCATAGGATCTGGGGGCATCCATAGGATCTGAGGGGCACCTATAGGATCTGAGAGGCACCTATAGGATATGGTGGCACCTATAGGATCTGGGAGGCACCCATTGGATCTGGGGGCACCTATAGGATCTGGGAGGCACCCATACGATCTGGGGGCACCTATAGGATCTGGGGACACATGCAGAGTCTGGGGGCACCTATAGGACTTGGGAGGCACCCATAGGATCTGGGGGCACCTATAGGACCTGGGGGCACCCACAGGACCTGGGAGGCACCCATAGGATCTGGGTGCACCCACTGATGGGGGCAGGCAGGGAGGACGGGGTTGGACGTGGAGCGGGCCGTGGGCGCCGTGGGTCTGGGGGCGTCACCTCCTCGTCCTCGCGGGGCGGGTGCCCCTTGGCGCGGGCAATGAGCCCCTCCAGCTCGTGGAAGCGGCGCTCCATCTCCTGCAGCCTCAGCCTGGCCTGGTGCTGCTCCCGCCGGATCCGCTCCAGCAGCCGCTTGCCGTGCTCCTCCGCCACGCAGGGGCTCTGCTGCCACTGCTGGATCCGCTGCGGGAGGATCTCGTAGATCCGACTGGGATCCGGGGGGGGGAAGGGGGGGAAAAGAGAGTGGGAGGGTCAGGAGGGGCGGCCAGGGGGTCCCGGCCACCCTATGGCACCCTATGGGACAGCGGGGGCTTGGGATCCCTGGGATCTGATGGGGATCCGCTCTGGGATCCACTCTGGGATCCGTATGGAAGATCAGCTTGGGATGTATAGTAGATACAGGGACACCAGGAAGACATTGAGCGTCCCCAGTCACCCCACAGGAGCCTACGGGATAGCAAGGGCTTGGGATCCCTGGGATCTGATCAGGATCCAGTCTGGGATCCGCTCTGGGATCCACACAGAAGGGCAGGTTGAGATCCATAGCAGATACAGGATCTGTAGGAGCAGCCTGAGGGGTCCCAGGCACCCTACAGAGCCTATGGGATAGCAGGGATTTAGGATTGCTGGGATCTGATGGGGATCCGCTTTGGCATCTGCTCTGGGATCTGTATGGAAGATCAGGTTGGGATCCATAGCAGATACAGGGACAGCAGGGAGGCACTGAGCATCCCCAGTCACCCCACAGCCGCAAATGGGACAGCGGGGGTTTGGGATCCATGGGATCCAATAGGGATCCACTCTGGGATTGAGATCCAGTGTGGGATCAGTTGGGATCTGGGGCAGATGGAGGGCCAGTGGGGGCAGCACAACGATGCCCAGTGCTGCCCAATGGTGCCCAGCAGTGCCCAATGGAGCCCAATGGAGCATCGTGGTGCATCCTGGTGCCCAGCAGTGCCCAATGGTGCCCAATGGTGCCCAGTGGTGCCCAGTGATGCACAGTGGTGCCCAATGGAGCACAGCGGTGCATCCTGGTGCCCACTGGTGCCCAGCAGTGCCCAATGGTGCATCCTGGTGCCCACTGGTGCCCTGCAGTGCACAATGGTGCATCCTGGTGCCCAATGGTGCCCAGCAGTGCCCAATGGTGCATCCTTGTGCCCAACGGTGCCCAGTGATGCACAGTGGTGCCCAATGGAGCACAGTGGTGCATCCTGGTGCCCACTGGTGCCCTGCAGTGCACAATGGTGCCCAACGGCGCCCAGTTCTGCCCAGTAGCGCACAACGGAGCACAGTGGTGCCTCCTGGTGCCCAACGGTGCCCAGCAGTGCTCAGTGGTGGATCCTGGTGCCCAGTATTGCCCAACAGTGCCCAGTGGTGCCCAGCAGTGCCCCATGGTGCATAGCGGAGCCCACTATTACACACTGGTGCATAACGGTGACCAGTAATGCCCAGTTTTGCCCAGTACAGCTCAATGGAGCATTGTGGTGCATCCTGGTGCCCAGTAGTGCTCAATGGTGCCAAGGGTGCCCAGTAGTGCTCAATGGTGCATCCTGGTGCCCAACGGTGCCCAGTTCTGTGCAGTAGCGCACAACGGAGCACTGTGGTGCCTCCTGGTGCCCAACAGTGCCCAGCAGTGCTCAGTGGTGCCCAATGGAGCACCGTGGTGCCTCCTGGTGCCCAGTAGTGCCCAATGGTGCCCAGCAGTGCCCAACAGTGCAAAGTTGACCCCGGTATTGCACAGTGGTGCATCCTGGTGCCCTGCAGTGCTCAGTGTTGCCCACTAGTGCCCAGTTCTGCTCAGTAGTGCACAGCGGAGCATCGTGGTGCATCCTGGTGCCTAACGGTGGATCCTGGTGCCCTGTAGGGCCCTATAGTGCCCAATGGTGCTCAGTACTACACAATGGTGCACCCTGACCACCAGTAGTGCCCAATAGTGCCCAGTAATGCCCAATGGAACATCGTGGTGCGTTCTGGTGCCCAGTAGTGCTCAATGGTGCCCAGTAGTGCTCAATGGTGCATCCTGGTGCCCAATGGCACCCAATGGTGCATCCTGGTGCCCAATGGTGCATCCTGGTGCCCAGTAGTGCTCAATGGTGCATCCTTGTGCCCAATGGTGCCTAACGGTGCTCAATGGCGCATCCTGGTGCCCAGTGGTGCCCAGTGGTGCCCAATGGTGCATCCTGGTACCCAGTAGTGCCCAACGGTGCATCCTGGTGCCCAACGGTGCCCAATGGTGCTCAATGGTGCATCCTGGTGCCCAACGGTGCCCAGTGGTGCCCATTTCTGCCCCCCCCCGACTCACTTGGCAGCCAGTTTGACGCCGCAGGCCTCGCTGCAGTACTTGGAGGGCGGGCGCGCAGGCCGGGTGCAGCCGGGCCCCAGGCATTGGCCCAGGCCCGCGGGGTCGCGGCTGTCGCAGCGCTCCTGGTGCCGGTTCCGCTCGCGGTGCCGCGGCTTCTGCCGGTGCCGTTTGTAGCGCTCCTCCTTCTGGGCAGCAGGACGGGGGGAACCCAGTACAGCCCAGTGCCTCCCAGTACAGCCCAGCGCCTCCCAGTACAGCCCAGTATGGCCCAGTGCCTCCCAGTATCATCCAGTGCCTCCCAGTATAGCCCCC